GAAAAGATTTATAGCGTTTGCTAAACTAATTTGCTTCTCATCATCTTCTCAATTGAAGAACATTTCGTAGATAATATGTTACATTATCAAAGCCTTGATTGTAAATATAAACATTATAAAAGTCTTGTTGAAATATGATTCAACATCCCTCAATACATTGGAGATTTATTTGTTCTTTTCATTCTCTATAAAGCTTAATATTAGATCCATGCATGTTCTACTTGATGATGATTTTGATACAATTTGAGCCAAATGTCTATCACATCGTGAAATTTTGTGTACATTGTACTCGATGATGATTTTGATACAGTTTGAACCAAATGTCAATCACACCGTGAAATTTTGTGTACATTGTACTTGATGATGATTTTGATAGAGTTTGAGCCAAATGTCTATCACATCGTGAAATTTTGTGTACATTGTATTTTCAATTTTTCCTCTCATCGCTCTTTGTCGTGATGAACGGAGGGTAAATACTATAATAATATAAGCTTCTTACTCTTAATCTTATCAATTTCAATGATCTACAAATCAATTCCTATTTATGTTTGGATTAAAATGAAATTGACTTATTCTTCACCTTCATAACAAGAATTGTCAACTTCGAGTTTAATGCAACCGACAATATGACAAGTGCAATCAAAAAATACAAAATTTTTTCTCAAATTTTGATGCATTAGACAACATGAGTTTTGAAACCAAAAAATGCTAAAATCTTTTAATTAAAATTGTCTTCACTTTACAATGCACATGTCTTGCATATTGCATGATTGTTGAAAAAAATAATAGCTGTAAACAATTTTATTTATGAATGTTGCAAATTTATTTTTTAGTTAATTTTGTAACAACATTTCAAATTTATGAGACCTGATATAAATTTATCAAAAGTAGCATCCTTATTCAGAATAAATTCAAAGATACATGAATCATAGCTTATAAACTTTTGCATTACTAACATATTCAAGTAAAAATCATCTTTTTGATTTGAAATTATTTTTCATAGATGTGAAAGTATATGACACATTGAAAAAACCATAATAGTCATGTGAATTTATTCAAAAAATATTAAAAGTTTAACTAAAATAAAGTAAAAACTGTTATCAAATACATTATAGTATTAAAAAAAAATCATTCTTAAATTTGTGTCAAATTGACTTAGCATACTATGCATTTATCCCCACAATTATTTGATTGAGACCACAACACAACACTACGCATATATTTCAACACTATTTGATTAATAACCTATTCGCAACAAAATTTTATTTTTTGTTGCAAATATTAAATCTTGATGAGGTAACAAGTGATTTTCTTCTCTTTGCAATAACTTCTAACCTGCTCAACATACATCCATTGCTATGATCAGTACTTAGATTTTCACATTGTGTTCAATTTAAATTTAAATTTGGATTATTAAGTTTTTGAATGTAATAAAAATTTCATGCTTCACTGTGAAAAAAATATTTCAGTCAAATTTTGAAAAAATGTAAATAAATTATTTATGATAGTATATCATTTAGAGTTGGCTTTTGAAGAGGTGTATCAAACTTCACTATGTATATGCTCAAATAAATCTTTAAAATTTTAAATTCCAAAAAAACTTAGTTGTATGGATACTCTATTTATAAATCTATTTAGATTATTGATCATAAATATTTTGATTGATTATGATTAAGTTTAGTTATCAAATCTATATTTGTCAGATTAATTAAAGTAATTCTAGAATTTTATGAGAGCATTCCGTTTATTTGGTCTATTTTTCAATATTTTCTACTATCAAAATTTAAAGTGCAATGAAAAATGATTTGATTTGATGTTAGTTTTGATTAAGTGGTAAAATTTTCATTGATTGAATTTAATCAAAAATTCAACTAATTGACAAGTTGAAATTCTAGAAGTTTTAACATCGCCAATGACATATGATCACTTCAATTGAATGACATAAAAGTTTCTACAAGATTATATATAGATCAATGACATGTTTTCATGTTATGTTTTTAAACAAATTAATTATATCTATCAACATTTAGTTTAGTGAAAATTAGTTTAGAAGTCATGAATTGAATTGATGATTTTTAAAGTATTTTAATATTTGAAAACAAATTTTCTAGCAAGTTTGAAGAGATCTTTGCGTGAAAACTTGATTTATGATAACTGATTTAGATTTATAAATTATCTTAAAATGTCAACAAGAATTTGTATTGAGTAATGAGTTGAGTAATTGTGTGATACTATGATTACGCACATGCACACGTAGAATTCAAACTTCTAGAATATTATGAGCTACCAAAAAGTCATATGAAATAAACTTGAATGACAGTTAGTTTGAAGATCATAATTTTGACATCATAAGTTTATAATGATGCTTGTTCATAACATAAAATTCTAAATCAACTTTACTTATGCAAGAAATTAAACTCTTATTGTCAAATATATATATTGTATATGTCATTTCTTAAATGATATACATAAAATATCTTAACTTCAAATTTTGTAAAATGGATTCTAGCAAATGTTATTGATCTCTGACATGTTTGAATCATTCTTACATTGTACTCTCATTTAATATTTATCACAAAAAATTTTGATTTATAATTTTTACCTAAGGTATTTTAATTTCAATATTCTAAATGAAATTGGATTTAATATCATTTACAAGATATAAAATTGACTTGATTTAGCGAATGTTTAATTTCATGAAATATTAAAATCTTAACAATATTAATAACTTCAATCCTATAAGATTGATTCATAAAAATTGCAAATTGCAAATTTGAAAAAAATAGATTTTTTCTATTGTAATAAGTGTGAGAAGATTGATCAATATTCATAATTTATATATCACCAATATTTATTAATGGATTGCATATGTATGATTTCATACGTTATTGTCTAGCAAGTTATGTTCTTTGGGATCGAAATCTTTTGTCATATTGGTTAAAGTAGGATTATCATCCATGATCTTCATACCATAATCACTTTTAATATTTACACTCTTGCCACATTTTCAACATACTATAGTATATTTTTTTAAGTATTTACCTTTGATCATGAATCTAATTCTATATCCAAGAAGCTTGTCATATTTGTCATTTTGTGAAAATGATTGATTTTAAATTACATTCAAACCTAACGAAGAGTACGAAAGATATGATATATACTCATCAACAAGACACTTACAACTTCATTCAAGTGTTGAAGAAGTTGAGACTTTAGAATACACTTACAACATCTTACACAATACAAGTGATTATGTGCATACCATAATGAAGCAATACACATCACAATAATTGATGAATAGTAGGTAATAAATTTTAAAAATAAATAAACTTACTCTCATCACTTTAATTTTTTGCTAAAGGTTTGAAGATGATCAAATCATTTTAGACATCAATTTGATCTTGAATCTTTATGAAAAAATCTTCTATACTCAATCTCATTAGTTTCAAGGAGACATACAACCTATTTAGTAATTCTTTGCGAAAAAATCAATTATCAAAATCCTTAAACACCTGTGTAAGATTGTCATCTTATCCACTTGACTACATAACAAAGGTAATAAATGTCCTAAGACAATAATTACAATGTTATTATTAAGATTTGTTCAATATTTCTCATCAAAATTGAAGTATTTGGATCTCAATACATTACCTTGATTTGTAATGTTCAGCTTGTCTTTGACTTACTTCTTCCAAAGCAAAATATCATCTCGTCAATTGTCTTTGATTATATCAAATCCACCTCTTGCAAACTTCAAGTGGTTATTTAGTTTTTGCCGATCCATCTATGTATTAGCGAAAACTAGTTATTTCTTGCTTTATATGTGCAAACAGATTTTTTTTTCATCCACATGACTAATGGTGTGATTGGCTAGACAGCCTTTGACAAATAAATGTTATAAATCATCACATAAGACTATCATCTTGTCAGCTGAGTAAGAAGCATTTGAAAAACCGTTGATGTCTGAATTTGAGCATTGTCTATAGCTTGGCTAGGGCCAATGGTTCAACTAAATCCATAAAAATCAACTAGAAGATTGTTTGCATCGGCCACCACTCCTAAGGTTGGAAAGTTAGCAAGTAAGGTTTGAGAGCTTTGGATGATGTTACATAGACACACAACTCTTGTCAATATGTATAAAATATAGAATATAGATAGTTTAGAAATATGTTTGGATATGGTGTTTTATATTATCTCATGTACTGTCGTAAAAACCCACCATTGCTATCTGTTGTTGCCAATATAATTGACCAAGTTTTCCAATCTTTGAGAGAAGACCATTGTCACATTTGTTGTGACATCATCGGAGCAAAGCAATCAACTTTGTAACTTTATGAACGAGAAGTCTTTGAGTTTGTGACAGGAGGTATGCATACAAATAGTTCTTTGTGTATTTTGATTATGAGTGAAGATAAATATAAATATTGAAAGGAATCAAATTAACTACTTATGATATGTTCGTTATCTTTATGATTGTGATGTATGAAAGGGTGAGTGAGGAAGGTATGCTTTTTTCTCACACGTACTTGTAGTATATACAAGAGATGCTACGAGAAAACATCCCACTTGCTATTTTCCATCAATCGAACAAGGGGACTAAAACTAATTTAAAACTCCTCATACTAGAGTTCAATATACGCTCTTGCTCCCTCAAGAGCGCACTCTTACACAAGAACTTTTTGACCAGCACAAGCTACGAACTCTACAACGATGAGATCACACCTTGACTTGATTACCATATTTTATACACATTTCTCCCGTATGAATTTGCTACTATCTGACAGATGTCTATAAGTCATCGATGTTACTAGAAAATGATGATTGTTATACCATGAGATGGATACCTCATGCATCGCACAAATCAGAAAATTTCAATGACAATAGAGTCAACATAGAATACTGCAAACCCAAACTTGCTCCTGAAAGTCCTGGTTATATATATATATATATATATATATATATATATGGTACATCTCGAATAGGATGATAAACCATAGAACGGCGCTATCCAAGGTCTTGAGGTAGTAGTACATGTTGAGAAGTGACATCCTTGTTACTCTATGCTTACAAGTAACATCAGGCTTTAACAAAGTCGCGAGAGAACAACATACTATATCATACTTTTTCAACGGAGGCGCATCCTACGTATTACACAGAGCAGTGGCCGCAGCATTTTGGATGATCATTCACCGAAATGATTCTTGATATGCTCCAGTAGTATCTAGAGAGTTAGATCTATATAGTTGGGCTTGTGAGGTGGACTACTGGTTCACACCTATCATAGCTCCACAATTCGCCCTCGGATGAATGCGTCGCCACATTAGTCCCTCGCTCGCAGCTCATCCGATGCCGAATTAGAGTCTAGGACAGGGGCAGGGGCCACGCAATTAATGTGCCACTTTCGCGCAAGTAGGCGCCCCACAGACGACGATGGTGGCCGAGTGACGAGTGACGAGTAACGAGGTGTTACTGTCGTTGACGTGAACGAAGACGAAAAATGCGCAAGAATCACGAAGGTCTATGGCGCTGTACATGGCGTAGTACTGGAGCCTCGTATGCACTGCGAGGAGGTAGCTCTGTGCGTGCGATGATCTGGGGAGCTTGTCTGCCCCACCTTTGACCTCGAGCCATAGCTGTCGTGCTGCTGGCCTTGTGACGGGGGAAGAGCGAGAGGGGGGAGGCGGGCGGGGTAAGGGACAGAGCTCACACGACAGGCTCTGACAAGATGCCTGCCGGGATTGGATTGGGAGTGGAAAGAAGGAGAGGAGCAGAAGTTCATGAGTCTCAAACAACTCAAAGGTTCTCTCGCATTCTGGGTGCCGTTCGCGCGGTCTCTGCAGTCATAGCAATACACTCTGGAGCCTGGATGGCCAGGAAATTGGTTTTCTAATGGCCCGGCTCTGCTTCTGCCGTGCCTCTGCCAAATTGCGTACTCATGATGAACCCCCAGTCGACAGCAGCAGTGGAGCATTAGGTAGCTTTCCCCATTTTTCTCATTGAGCATGTGCGATCCTTTTATGCGAGCGAGTTCCAATCGGCTCCGTCCGATGCGGGTGCTGGCCTCGGGGCACACCGCTGCGCGAACAACATCACCCTTCTTGCTCTGCGCGCAAGAGCGCCCCAGCTCCTTCTGCCAGGCCCTAGAGCGTCGCTTACCGTCGGCGTACGTTTACTTGACATCACCGCACAAAGTTTTCTTTCGTTTGATCTCCCTTTTCCTCCACCTTTTGCATGCTCTGCTCTCTGGTCGCGGCTTCCAGCGCCTTAATCTGCCAACTCCCGGCTTCTTGACCCGCCTTTCTCTTTCTCTCTATGCGCCTGTCGGTCTCTCGCTCATGCCAGTTTTACCCATCGCTGCGAGCGGTGAAATTTTCCGAAGAATTCTGGTCTTTCTGACCGCGGACTGCGAGAAAGTGGTCAAATGCTGACGTCACCGGCAGATAATGGTCACCAATTCGGCCCGCTTTGGATCTGTTCCATGCCCTGAATAATGGCGTGATTCGAAGTGTCCTGGCTGGCCTGACTGAGCTACAAAAGAAACCGAAACCTTGGTTGCAGAAAGTATAAAGGCGTCCCGAATTACCCAGATTAGCTCCTCCTTGCGAACGCTGCAGAAGGCGACATTCTACCGGCGACACTGCTGGCCCTGAAATGGCCGGCGACCACGGGCCTTGTCACCTCGTCAATCCTGTGGAGAACCCTCGCGGCGAGGAGCGAAGCTTCTGCGATCTGTCGATTGGCTGATCCAACGTGACTCACCTCACGTTCATCCAAGCTCATGCACAGTGGTGCGTGAAAATGAATGGGCGCAGGATCGATTCACTGGGATCGCATTCGAACTCAGTGGACACGATCTTCGCACTGGGATTTTGGGACGACTAAATCCCAGATCCTCGACCTCTGCAACGCACACCCCGATGACTCATTTGTGTCTATATCCCGAAAGCGAGTGTATGCGACAATCCGCACCGCGCCGGACTCCGAATTACTTACAGAAATATCTCGGAATTATTTATCTGAACCTCATCAAATGCAGCACATCGCTAATGCCTATCGTTCTAACAACCTTTCTCGTGGTACTCACTTTTCATGGGGCTATCGGATTCACCAGTCTCCATCGGGTTTGTGCGGAAAAATAACTTGCTTCTGAGTCAGGCCCCGACATTGTGCTTCCACCTATCACTGCGGTAATACGCTCATCATTTCAGCGCCCATCTAGCCCTCAGATGCTTCCTATAATTCTCGATATTTATCGTTTTGTCGTGGATATCGGTGAGCAGACCCGGGGTGTAAAAGCTTATGGGGATGGCCAGCTGCACATGTGGCAATGCCGAGCAGCACGCTTCGACTAAATTCGCCTATTTCGGGGCTCAAAATTCTCGGGACGGCAAACACAGACAGGGTTCTAGCTCTGGTAGCCTGTCAGCGCTCTGCAGATTGCAGAGCGGAGAGCCTATCAGCGGCGGGGGCTCTGACAGATCCATTGCAGGTCCTGTCGACGTATTCCAAGCCACCGGGCAAAAAGGAAATTCGTGAAAGTGCTCTCTGAGATCCGGCGAGAAAGTGAGCTCACCACCGCCTGCTCCTCAGGCAGAATTACTTCCACATCGTCGGCCCGCGTCTTTCTCTTTTTCTCGTCTGCCGTGGGGCCACCAGCGTCCACGCTGTGTGGGTCCATTGGCTGCCTCGCCATGGTTTGCTCTCTTTGAATCCAGGTACTAATCTCCTCGGTTGGCTCTCAGGTCTGAAAAGTCCAATTGTCTCGGGATCACTACGGGCCTCGCTCGCTCGCTTGCTCGACCGACTCGTGGCGACCTCTTCCATCCTTGCGTGCGTGCTCGCTCCCTTCCACTTCGTGCTAGAGCGAATCAGTCATCCTGACTGACTCCTTCTGCGAGCACGCCAAGCGCCATCTCCCGCGGAGGGAGAGAGGGAGAGAGGGCGAGGGAGGGAGGGAGGGAGGGAGGGAGGAAGGAAGCGAGGTACTCTGCGCATCTGCGAACAAACCGCTGCCAGAGAAAAGATGTCTGATACAGAAGAGCCCTATTGCAGATCGTCACAGGTCAAGCTCAGCTCGCTTTGCGCTGCTGGGCTTACCCCTTCAATTCGGGCTAGTACATGGGCGAGGACAAGACTGGTGCTGCTGCCGCTGCCGCTGCCGCTGCTGCACTCCTATACTCGGCCACTACTGTACAATGTACTCAGTCACCACGCCACCTCTACCGCCATTACACAATTCTTTCTTCTGCTCCGGCCTGCAGCTCGCGCTCTGTCGTGCTACTGTACTGGGCCGCGACTAGGCCCGCCCCAGGGCGTCGCAAGATTCGCTCCTTTCGCCCTTTGGGCCGTGGGGGTGACCTCAAATCTTCGCGGCTCGCGGCGCTGTAAGGCAAAAGCAGCCAAACCCGCGAGAGCTCTGCAAGCGATCGCACCATTTCCTCGGCTTAAATCAGCGATCGAGGCAGCAATGAATATACTATTCAACGAACTCTTGTAAGAAATCCGAGAAATCGTATCTGGCCTGATCCGAGCGATCTCTCGTTGAATGCATGAGTCGGCCGGATCGTACCTACCTGCGATGCATGCGCACCCATGTTCTTGAATCCAGCTCCGCCCGAGCGCTGCAGCTCACTCTATCAAGCTTCTAGAACTCGCGGGCACTGTATCCATCAATGCCTTACGTCTCCGCTTATATTCTTCTCGAGACCACCAAATACTCGCGTCAGTTTGACCGCATAGGACAACTTTGACCGCCTTGCGCCCCGTCCATTGAAGAGCCTCCGAGCCCGCCCATAAGAGCTCGATGTTCTTGTCAGCCCCCCTCGCCCCGCCCGGCCCCGTCGAGGAGCCGGAGCGGCGATGGCGAGACGCGATTTGGCTCCTCGAGGGCCTCGACGCCACAAGCTCTGTGGCGCTAAATTGTGTGGCTCTCTGGCTGTCGGGGCTCCTCTTAGCCCTCCACAGAAAACCCGTGCCTTGCCAAGCCCACTTAGCGCAGCACGCCTCTGTGGAAGTACTTGGGCTCGTGAATTTTGTGGGGGGCGGGGGGTGATCTTAAATTACAATAAACTGGAGGTCAGGACGCGAGACCTCGCCCGGCTGGAGCAGCAGGTGGATTTTCCGAATCGAGCTTGTCAAAGCTTGTCATTTCGTTGGAGGTATGGATGAAGGTCTTTTGGGGGACACCATGATGAGCTCGCGCGTACCGCCTCTCTTCTGTCCTTCACCGAATGGCGTGTTCAGTGGAGCACTTGCTGCTCATGTGCTCGAGTGCCCTCTTTATACCGGTTCAACTAAACCTCGGCTGCAAAGGTTACTCTGATGCTTTCTCTGTCCTAATGCGCAGTAAATCCCGAGGCTCTGCGAGTTTTCTCCTCCGCCAAGACAGCTGCTTCGGCCAGTTTCTTCGAGCTCCATGTAGAGTTCGAGGGGTGTGGATCTAGCACCGCACGCAAGCATGCGATGCCCTGGACTGCCCTGCCCCGCCCCGCCCTGCCCTGTTCAATCAGCGCACCCGTAATTGTGCGCGATTAAAAATGTGCGCGAGTGAGTGTACAACAGTTTGGAGCAAGGCCGGCTACTCTCACCTCAAGCGCCAGAAAACAAACTCGGTGTTTGTCTTCTTTCCAAACTGCTCCAACCAACCACCAGATCCTCCGGAACGAAAAATCGGCGATCACAGTACTACAAAATTGGGGGGATAGAGGCAAAGCAATCATGCTTTCTTCTTGTTTGTACGCTGCGTGCGATCTATCTTGGTTGCAGACATGAGACTAGATGGTCCATCCGTTCCAGTTTCTCCTCCCCAAATGAGGAAGATTTCGGACGCCCGCAGTTGGCACAGGCCTGCTGACTCGATGTTAACACTCTCCTTCTCCAGGTCCTGAGCACCGAAAAAACAAATTGTTTTCGTCTTCTCCCTTCCCTGGCTCACCCCACAACGAGATCCACAAAAACGCCAATAAAATCCTCGTGATGGAAAAGGGAGTCAATCATGACTCTTGTTGTATGCTGTGCGTGCTTGCTTGTGTTGCGCACATCTAGCATTCCATTCCATTTTATTCCTTCGAATGATTTCATTTTGATCCTAGTGGTCTCATGATCATGATGAGATCGTGATATGGATAATCTCATCGACATTTGGATAGGACTTTTGAGTCAATCATAGGTCGACATGATATGTTGTTAGACCAGCAAGTCTTGCGAGAATTTTCTTTTTGACTTGTCACATGATGTCACAAGCTTAAGACATGAGTGCTTCTACTTTTCTAAGGCTGGGAATGTGAGTTCCATGTATTTACATGAACCTGCAGATTGTCAAAATTCTCTGGAAGACAATTTTGATACTTCGATCATCCTTGACTCTCGCTTGAGCTCAAACATGTCAATCATTTTCTTGCTTGGGTGCCCATTCATCGGTAGCCCATGATGCTCAGGGCTGAGAGCGGGTGAGAATTCGATCCATCCCAAGGCGTGGTTTGAGCTGCTCTATGGAACAGCGAAAAGTTGGATTCAAATTTAATGAGTGCTGATCCCTGTGGTTAGAATTCTCGAAGTTTGGAGTTCTAGTAACCTGGACATGTGAGAGATGGACTCTTGTTCTGACAAGAGATCCCAAATTCATGGCACAATCAGATGAAAGTGATTACTTTAGACAGGAGGGAACCTTTTAATGTTTTGGAACATAATGAAACCTTGTCCTGATGCCATATGGGGGTGGCTAAAAGGTGGGCTCCAAATGGAACACACAAGTTAGACATGCACATTGTGTGTCTTAAGCATGACAGAAAAGGGCGTTGTAGAATCTGCGATCATGTAGCTACTACTGTCTTTAGTACCTGGAGTTGCATGGATAAGTTGGGGCATCAAATGGGGGTCTCGCTTCAGCTGACTGGGGTGGCTCTTTCCATGTACGATCATCGCTCGATGGAAAGTTGGAGCCCGAATTTACTGTTCTGATCATAGCTCATGTGTACACCTTGTTGTAAAGTTGCAATGCAGAGCTCCAGAGTCACTGTTTGAGAAATCAAATCTTGCAGGGCCAAGATTTCAACATGCTTCCCAAAAAAAAGTGAGATTCTCCTTCATTGGCTACTGCTACCCACCTAATTTGATATGTTCTTGTCCGTGCCATATTTGTAAGTCAAACCATATATTCTTCTTATAGAGCTGCTTTGGATCTCTTCACAAGCCTCCAATACCAAGACAGCCGGCCAATGGAGAAAGTCTCCGAAAGAAACTACTAACCACATTTTATCCTCCATTGGCCGTATCCATGGTAGCAGTTGATGTGCAGCACATAAACTGCTGGAGGGCTTTCTTCATCTTTTCACTCTGATGATCTCGGGGTCCTTTTCTCGCAGTAATCCGCTATTCGTTGGCATATCTGACGGTGGAGAATTTGCAAATAGTCCAGGCTTTTGCATGGCCCAAGTTTCCTGCTGCCATGGTCAGGGCGGAAGAGCCTACTATGACCACGGTGGGTTTGCAGTTCACACATCATAAACCTTCGCTTTTGGAAGCTATCCGGAACCAGAACCTGGATGTCTCGGTTCCTCGGTCCGAGTTTCCCACTTGCAGTTCTGTCGTAGATAGGAGAGTATTGTTGATCAACCTGACATTTGGACTGAACGCTAGAAGGAGAAGCGATATCCTGAAAATCCAGCCCCTCCTGCTGCAATTCATTTCCAATCCGTGATGATGATGTCTTTTCAGAGGGAACATTACAATCCCCTAACAACTAGGTTTAACCTTTTTTCCCGGGGAAAACTCACCCTGTGTTCACCGACCCAAAGCTCGCAACTTCGTTATCCCTTCAAAGTTTGTTCCTTTTGCAGAAGATTGAATACTTCTAAATCACCTGCAGCTCTACTGTGGAGTCCTGACATGGTTGAATATGTCATATATGCTCTCTTCAGTACGCCCAGTACTCTGTCCATGTGTGGACTTCTGCAAACATACAAACATACTTAGCGCATGTTTGCGCATTTATTTGATTTTGTTTCATTATATGAAACCTACAAGGCTTGAGTGTCTTCTAAAGCTCTACTCCTGACATGGAAGAACATGTCAAATATGCTTTCTCGCTACCCTAGCCGGTGTAGCCACGACAAAAAATACATTTGTGGTGGGGACGAATGAATCACTCCGCTTGACATTTACCGGGGTAGGCAGCATAGCCTCGGCAAGATTGAATTTGTGGTGGGGACTATGGAATTACCGGCAGCAGGAAATTTACCAGGTGGTTATGCATGTTCCATCGGTGGCATCATTGTATCCAGGTAAAAGCACCAAGAATTTATAGTTACAACATTCTGGAAAAATGTGGATCAAGGATGCTGCCATCAATCAGCCTTTCCTCCCGCTGTAGAACATGTATATAAAATAAGAAACAGGGCCAAGTACAAAGATTTTGATACATTCAAGGTACCACACCTTACACACATACCTACCTCCTGCGTACAAGACGAGAATGATTATCCATCCAATAGCAATCTGAGCAAAGTGATGAAAGGATCTACGCACGTAGAAGGTGTAATTCTATATTTTATAAGTATCATGATCCAGCCAGTTCTGCCCTCTGGTATCAACGACGAGTGAATGGACCCACATAGTCAACAAACCTAAAGAGATTTCAATGCACCTACGTGCTCTATGGGTCCCCTGGAAGTCTCAGTCCCCACATAAGCATGAGGCTGATAAGCATCGGCCTTTTGTTTTCATCACCGGCTGGCTATTAGTGCGAAGACGTTGGAAATTACGCTAAGTCTTTCCATCTCTCTTCCGTCCGAAGAAGCATCGGAGCGATGACAAATCGAAGCTGGTGCACCCCAGAGCCAGCTCTTGACACTGTCGAGTTTCGTCTAAACATTCCACCTGCTCGTGTCAATGTTTATTTTCGACAAGGTATGCAGAGAGCCGAATCAATAAATTAAGGGGGGAGTAATAATCCTCTTATTTGTGGTGTTGTGGAACGACACCTAAAAGTGCCAATTATTGGTCCTTGGGCCAAGTGACACCTCAAAAAGAACCGAGGAAAGCAATTTCCTTATGATTGGTGTGATTGCATAGTGAAGTGGATATTTTAAGCGGTAAGTGTCACTGCAGGACCGGAATATGAACTTCATCCACACCGCCCTGCTAGATATGAGACATCCGGCAGCCAATCCTGTCACGAATTACACCAACTTGGGGTCCTTGGGAATTTGGAAGCACCCACCTTTACTGCTGTATCCTCCATGGCAATAGATGGAAAAGAACATCTATTATGAACGCAAGCCATCACCGTCCCACGTAATGCGTTCATAAATACAACCACGACCTCCTGTGGTGTGTTCTGCACCTCTTTTCCACTCGTGGTACGATCTTTTACTCACCTTTCGCAAAGAATGTTATACAGTAAGCTACGATTCGAGAATGATCTTCTTTTGGTACCGAGTGTTGGTCTATGTTCATCCATGGCGAAAAGAAAGCGACCAAGATCACTCGATTGACTTTTTAGTACTGCTGACAGGATCGGCTGGATGGCATGATTGCTCCAAGAGAATTTCAGATCGTCTTCGACCTCAAAGATTCCACGAAATTGGTTTGGGATTGAATGTTGGTTGAACCCTGTACTGAAAATAGAGACTGTTTTGACAGCTAAACCTCAAACAGTGCTGAAGCCTCCAAGTAAGATAGCAAGTCAACAAAAAAGCTCATCACTAAAGTAGTCGAAATATGCGGATCACAATGTCTTACATTCTTTGACGACAGTCGTCATAAGGAAGAAAGTTTCGTTCCTGAAGTCGAGAGCGTGCAGCCTATGCCATGTATAGTGAAGTGGGATTGCAATGACGAAACAATTTGTTTCTTTCATTCCTTACAAAAGAAGACTCCCATCTTTCGTGATTATGTGCCATCGAGGTTCAGGCTTCTCTAGGTGCTATACAATCGAGGGATTGGGCTTTGTCAGGGCGAACATACAACAAGTAGATCTCCTCAAGTACAGGGTGTGGTACAAAAGAGATATGGCATGGCATGAAATTGATTTGAGCTTGTCCTTGTCTCTTGAAGCGAGAAGAAGAATATGGTACACTGACAGTACACCGCTGACATGAATTTGTACAGTTGAAACCGAGGGGACAAGACCATGACTTTGAGCGCAAGGTAGCACCGATGCCCGTAAATACCATGCATTGGGTGGTTCACGTCTTCCACACAAGGGGTACTTTTGTACACGGAATCCAAGTCCACTAGCACCGGCTCTACACATGAATGGGATTGACGAACAAGATCAGATCGCTCGTTGTGGACCAAAGTGATCGCATGATTCTTGTACACCGTCCCTGCTCAGGAGATCTATGTATACATCTTGATCAGTGAACGTCATCCATGTTAGGAAATCCTCCAAGTTTTCAAGCACCTGTGAAGAGATGTGTAGAAGTTGAAAGAGGTCTACTCGCTGAAAAGAAGTCTGTGACTTTTTGATTGTTCTCTGGCTCTTTGACTCCGAGGTGCTTCAAGAACATTGGACCTGATATGGGTACGAAGAATTATGGACTAAGATTGATAGTACAAGCGATGATGCGCTGCGTGACAGTCACTTGAATTCAGCATTCATTGGGCATCAAGTCATATTCTGGATCCACTCCGGGGTGTGATAGATTCTGAGTCGGAGATACTCTTGATATCAGCAACTACCACTAACAAGTATGTAATGTTGCCATCAGTCATTCCTTCGTTCTTTACCTCTTCGTAATCTTTTCAGCTTCTGGAATTATATTGACCCCAAAAGTATTAGCTCTAAATAAAGTTCTCCAAGTGCATGATGTCTAGTGTTACTCCTGCTATTGCAACTTCCCTGGTTCGCACTTTCATATCAAAACATAGCGGACGCCTGAAATGGTCCAGCTCTCAACACTAACGATGTTCATACTTGGGAGTAATGAAATTTGGCAAAATTCCAAGTGTTTGGCACTGATTGCGCACTTAACTGTGTGGCGTGGAGCAGCAGCTTTCGAGCCTTCGAATAGAAGGTTCTTCGCAGATTTGCTTATAGTTCTGGCCCTTTGATCCTCTGGCTACACTTTAGGTGGCAATGTCCTCGTGAACAGAAGCACCCAGTGCATTTTATATACGGGTCACTTTACAGGCAGCATAGCATACCCGTGATCAAGTGATATTATGGGTCAATATTGTCCACCTGCAGCAGCAGTCGCAGTAGCAGCTTCTGAGGACGTAGTACTCTTGAAGACATCATCTCATCATCAGGTGTTTCATGACTCTGTGCATAATCGGAAAAGAACTAGCGCTACATTGTTTTGAAAGTGAAGTTGGGCCAAGTCTGAAGGTGCATGAGCACCTAGTCTGCCGTAGCTTCAGAAGCTACTGGTGAAGTCAACATCCAGTAAACAGATAATTCTCTCACTGTCGGCACCTATTAGTTTCCTGGCTCTACGGAGGAATGTGATTGCGAGTAGGGTGTACTCCTAAAAGCCACATTTCATCTGAAGACATTTAAGGCTGTCATGCCGAGATCACGAGTTCACCATAGAGTGGTGTACCAGTGGCAAGGGGACCTTCAGAGCGACTGGGCCCTTCTTTCCAGATTGTAGATGGTGGCCTTCTGCCAACTCCTATGGTTAGATTCTTCCTAGTCGTGTATCTTTACATACTCGAGTAGTCTTGAAAGTCGCCTCACCTGTACCTTGGGTCCCTTTGTGTGAGCTACAATTGCTGATCTTACGAGTAAAGTGAAAACTACCATCACGTGATGACATCTTCCGGTTTGTTACATGCAATGATTCTATCGCTCTGCTAGCTTCAGCTGCTGAATCTGCTGCAGGAAAAATCTTCGTGAACGCCTCCAAAGTCGTCAGCATAAGCTGCTCTTCTAGCTAGAGCATTGATCGGAATTCCTGTGACATTGATTCCTGTTCCTGTTTCGAAATATGGAGACAACTGAGTTACTCATTGGTGCTTAGCGTACATGTAAGTGTTCGGTGCACACGCACTCAAGAGAAATTTTGGATGTAACACCGACCAGGTCCCATGCACCCCTTGATCCTTTCTTCATACATTTCAGGTGCTTCTCATGATTCTTACTACATGTACTCATTGGTAATTCCTGCCAGCTGCAGTCGCTCACCTGCTCGTTGGTTGCCGCTGGCGATCTTTTCCACTTGACTACTGTTACTCCTGAGTAGCATAGAAGCACAGCATACGTTGTTGCATCTAGTCAATGTAAAAGAATACATTAGAACCCAGCCTTCAACACCAGTCTAACGGAACTCCTCAACCAACGTCCACATCAGATCTGGTTCTACTATAAGATATCAGGACAATCTCGATGGCAGCGCCTCTTGTCATTAATTCAAAACTTGCCTCATGATCCTCTGTCTTCGTGTCGTGTTGCAGATAACTAACCGGAAGTCTATCAGGAGTGTTGCAGCTTAACCGAAACCAAGAGCAAGTCTACAAGACAGCGCCTGCATCCACGATGACTTCCTGCTTGCACGAAACTTGCTATCTTCTTTACGGGTTGTAGTTTAGGAGACAAAGCCTGCATTCGTTCTGTGATCCTTCAGTGTCTGCATGCGAAGTGCAGCAGCAGGTAACTAGCAAATGTGAGGCTTTCCCGAGGTCAGTCTACAATGAAGTGTCCTCTTCTGGCTGCATGCGATTCTGTAGCTAACCAGCAAACCCGAGGTAGACCTGAAGACATATTCTGCACTCAATGGTTCTCCCAAATATAGAGTGCGTAGTAAACAAGTGAGATTCCTAGAAGCCTTGACACAATGCTGTGGCCAGATTTTCTTTAAGCCTGCTCAGACATCACTCAAATCTTGCAGGTAGTGATGGAGCAACATTGCCAACACGCTTCAGATCATCGACAGACCAATCCTGACTGGTTTTAGTTTATTTGACTCTCATGGCAACAGATTCAGGACTTAGTCATATCATTGACTAGCTTCCTGGACTAATGTTCTCTTTCATTGTAGGTTATATCAGGTTTGAATCAGTCTGAAGCAGACGAGCTGATTCTCATGTCACCGAGAATGCCTAGCAAATATCATGTTGTAAGACGCAGTATGTGCCATATGATTATCCTGCAGCCTCAGGTACTTTGATACTACCAATAATGCACACCAGAATTTGTATATGAACCAGAGATCATCTACTGCTGTTATTAGTACTAATTAACAATGTGTGTGTACAGTTGTGATTGTACCTGTACTTCTCAATTAGTTCCATTCTCTGATTAGGATATCTCTGGCCTTTAAAGTAAAACATTCATGATAAGCTACTAAGGTGGTTAACCAGTAAGCAGGCCTGATCTGCGTGAGATCTCTCGCATGCTTGGCATGATCTGTCTGTTTCTCGTGAAATCAACAATTTAGCTGGTTCTTAGGTATACTGGCCAAAGTTAATGTGTTAACCTCGTATTCAGGGTTTTATAAAATGAATCGTCAGAGGTTAGCCGAATTTTGAAACAAACTGCAAGGTAAGAAGCCAGCGATGTTGATTCTTTACCTCCCCAAAGTACTGTACGTCTCACGAGGGTATATTAAGTACTAAAGCCGACATTCCGTGATTGAGCACGGGACGTGTACAGGAGTGACATTCAAGTCCCTTTTGTTTCTCGGCACCGATCAGGACTTTCTGAATTGATAGTACTCTTGGGGCAACTGCATGGGCGTACAGCAGCGGCTCCTTTTGCGTTCAATGCTGAACACCCAATATGCATCTTAAGATATGCATAAAAGCAGCACACGGTGACTTTGCTGGATCCGTCCCCAGATCCATAACCTGATTTGAAAGGACTACGAGAAAAGTAGTTGCAACTGAGTGGACTGAAAAAGCGGTTGCACTTCAGTCTCTATTAGTCGTTGCATTCCATACGTCTTCCTCAACTACTCTGCCAACCATAGCCGGTACTCTTTGTAAAGGTAAACCTCGGGATGTTTTCTCCTGAAGACTTGAACCCCGTCATGTAGTTCAGGAGAAGGAGCGGGCGTAGCACGAACAATGTTTGCTGCTAGAGCACGACACTTCGAACATTTTCTTCATCTCTACCACTCTTTCTGGTGCGCACTTGACATCCTCAAGGTCGATCTTGCTCCACGTGCTTGTTTCTCCTGCTTAGATGAACCACATTGTCTGATTTTACCCATGAACAAATATAGAAGCTTGATTTTGACAGTTTTCTGACGACACTGGAGGTTTAGTCTTCGTCTCGATCAGTATTTGCCAAGGCCGCAGATGTGTGAGAAGAACTTAGATGCTGTTACAGCCCAAGATGTTGTCCAGCTATGATAAACGACCTACATACAAATATACGCAAATCTCTGAAATCTCCAGTCAAATGTCCACAATGACTAATATATGAAGATCGGCAGGAGGACTGAAGGCACCAGCTCCAAAATAGAGTTTCTCTTGATTGAGTGCCCACAGACGCTACATCCCTTGCACGTCCTTCTCTTCCTGAATATTTTTCATGTTAAAGGATATAAAAGCTGCAGCTTCATATAGGAACTAAGTGGGGAGGGTACTCTAAAGGGTTCTGGACCGAGGAGTTGATACAGAAAGAAGCTGACTTTGTCCAATCTCCAGTGTCTTAAACTGAAAGCAAGAGTTGACCCAGGGTGGAACACATAAATAGGGTACCACGATGCCCTCAAAATCGAAAAATATTTGAGGCACTCCAGCCGACAACTTGTACACAGCAGGTGAATACTTCGTTGAAGGCTAAACTTTCTAGACCGATCTTCAATCCTCAGACTTGCTATTTCACATAAGAAAGTTCTTGAAGCACAATGTGAAAGATCGCAAGCTGAAATGGACCACGAAGACTAGGTACGTTGCCAATAGACCACGATGCCCGCATCATAGAAAATGGTGATAGTTCAGTAGGATAACACATCGACGTGTCTAGCCTGGCCAACATGTCACACCATACATCTGGATTAGCGGCAACTTTTATCCAAGAAATGAAACATGAGCAGTATCTTGCAAATCTTGCAAAGCTTCACCACCGAAGTGATCCACGTGGTGAAAAAGCAGGGATGTTCACAAGAGAACCGGCCATAGCACCCACGAGGATTGGAAAAAACTAATGGCAGAATAAAATCAAATTTGCACCCCAACTTTCGGAACACCTTACAAAAAGTATCATGTTTTTACCCCAGATAAACCCATAGCAATGGCTTTATTAACAATAATGATCAGGATATCCCAAAGGAAAAAGAAACCTGTCATGGCCCTATTTCCCACGAGTTCGATGTCGTATATAGATCAAAACCGACCTCATCTCTTTAACGCACAAGAACCCTCCAGCCTTCACAAGACCTGGCTAGTATCTGCTCCGTGTTAATAAAACGACCGTACAAATGAGTTATGCACATGTTCCATATCTTGCTAAGTCCCCACATTTGCTGAAAAAGAAGAAAGTTACTGATAAGCCGCCACAATTCCAGCTGAATGTAATATCGTTAACAACTCACAGGAATTTGGCGCCTATGGACTCAACATGAGTCAAGGGACTGCACTCCGGCAATCAGCGCTGAAGCGAGTCTTCCTTTCTTGCTAATGCATCTGTGATAACGTCAGTAGCCCAGTCCTTCACATCCTCCTGAGACATAACAAAACTGCGACTGTTACTGTCGTTGATGTGGCTTAAAAAGTGTAGGGAGCACGCGATCGACTGTAAAGTTGAGCGCCTTAAAGTTATTGCAGAGCCTAAAGATCACAGACATGAAGAATATAAGGATTACACATGTTAAGACAAAACGAGTGCATGCAGGTACTAGAAAGTAGGGATATCAGACTAGCTGTTCTGAGCGGCTGCAGGAAACTAAACGTGTAGAAAACAGCTCTGAGATACCAGACCAGCAAGACCAGTGTAGCGGAGCCTCACGTTACGAAATACGTCATGCACTACTAGCAGCTACACATCTGGGTGATTGAGCTCCTGGACGGGGGACTGAGGTCGAAAACTTCTTGTCATTCGACATTATAAGATGACTCAAGCCAATAACAGTTGCACAGAACTGGTTGACAAAGCAGCTGAGCTTCACAATACCTGAAATTCATCACATCAATGAGTATGGGACTCAACTGATCAAACTTAGAACATACCATGCTCAGGGGATCTCCCGTTCTTATTCGCGCATTATCACGAGCAATCCTGGATTCAAAGGGTGTCCGTGGTGGTAATTGTTGAAGATGATCCCATAGCTCTCTTGATATAACCTTTGGCTGATTGGCCTGGAGCTCAACCATCTCTCTGGCTTTGCGCTCCACGCGCTCTTCCTCTTGTGATTCGTCGTACTAAAACATCCACAACAATAATTTCACACAAAATCACTCAGATATTTGACAAGTGCAAATGTGTCTGTAATATCATCTTCATAGTAGCTAAGCCCATGAACCTCCCATATCCAGACCACATAAATTTCAGGTAAAGCAACTGCGTCTTTCACGACAGTCTTATATACAGTCAGCGCAGTATTCGCATAGAATTCATAAGTGAGTACGGAGCAGCAAATTGAGGGAAGACAAAGTTGTCTTGTGCACTTTAGAACACTGCTGAAACAAGAGCAGCTACACTTGGAGATTTGAACATTGCCTTCTCTCAAATATAATCAGTAAAGGTGGAGGAATATTTTCAAAGTTGTCAACTCCACTTGAGATATCCCAGAGCTTCTGATACAGTTCATAACTTTCCAGCGACGGTTCCAAAACTCTCATCACATACATTAGCAGTGCAAACTTCACTTGGAAACTAAGAAGCAAATAGTTCACCTAGAACTTGATTACAGATCAAGTTTAAGATCAATCGAACCATCAAAGCACAAGTACATCGACAATGATATTTCGTCAAATGAAACTTTATACTTCAGTTGGTGTCTGTTACAGCCTGAAACCTTGAACCCTAACGATCCGGCTTACCAGTGCTGGAATGGGAAGATCGAGTAATGAGAGAAGACCGAACTGGTTTCTCTTGTACCAGAATTTGTAACCATATATTGAATTCAAGGTTTCATTGACTAATCTATCCACCTAACATATACAAGTGCCTCGTAGGTATGACTCAAAAGTGGAGCTAACTTCTGTTTTGGCTCCAGGCCCGTGAAATCAGTACACGGATAGGTCTCCACAAGCAGAGCGATATCATGAAGCGGTTGTTACAAATGAGATCCATTCCATGAGATAATGCAACGGATTTGTTCTCCTCCCTCACCACACAATGTGCAAGCTCTCCACTTTGCTTGCCTTCTGATTGAGAGTGATGACTCCCATTCAGAAGCTCAAGGAGGCTCAGGAGGCTACTAGGTGGCGCGCACGGTGATCGACCTCATCGAGTCATTAACGTTGTTCGACATGTAAGATTCAGCGATTATTGTTATGTGTACACGTAGTACTATAAGCACCACGTGTACACATAACAACATGATGTAAGCACAGCTACATGCGTGCATCTTGTGCTTTACAATGTCTCTGTTATCTCCCCTTGAATTTGGAAATATCGGTACGAGATTCAGTAGAGGTCACTCAGGATTCTGTAGATACTACTGCTCCAGCTGTTCGCTTGGATCCCGACCTCACTAAAAGAAAGGCCTTCCAGCCTGGCTATTGTGATGGTATTTCTCCTCGTTAAGTAATCGTCTGATGGATAATCAACGAATTGTTCCAGTGCAACACCGTAGGGATTAGATAATCTCCAAAAACTGCTCCTGCCTGTTCTCAGCTACTTTTTGCATGTGGTGTTCCCACAGACCCACAGACCGTGTTCTGAGAACTCAGTCCCATGTAAGTAGAGGACGAATATCTTGGTGGCACGAAGTCCATCGTTAAATTATGATACTCATATTGACAGCAGATGCATCCAATACTCCCAGAAGTCACACCAAATATTGTACCCCATAGTCACCCAGCGTCTTCCAGTCCACAAAAGCTATCGGCAAATATCAATGCGGGTATAGTAGTCTCTCCCGAACAAATTCCCAGACAGATATCCCCTCCTGGTTCCAGTGATGGATTCACGACTATGCTCAAACATGTTGGGAGAGGGGAGAGCCTTGGACTACTACTTGCAATATAAAAGGATTTGCTTCGTTGACAAGACTGTATTCCTGGTTTTGTGATATGCCTCATGATCCACGTGAACAAATCAGTGTGAAATACGAAAGGTCAAACATACGGCAAAAAGGTTGTATACTGGGCTACATCTTCGAATTTAAATGGTCCATACTTTCGAGCAGAATATGAAGAGCCTCCGTTGCTTACCATCATTGTTAGCTTGGCAATAATCGCTACAGCAACCATGCCCACTCCGACCTTCAGTGTTGGCGTATCATAAAACTCCTTCGACTCCGGAATCTCAACGGACAGGTTCTTTGGAACACGAGGGCGCTGAGACTGTGTCTTTGCAGTAGGTCTCCTGTGTGACTGCAGAAAAGCTGCCCACTGAGAACCCACCTTTTGTCCACGACGTAATCGACTCGCCATCAGCCGCACCAACAGCAGAAGTAGGCATTCAAAGGAAAGAAGTTCTCTGATCAGGCTGCAACTCTTTGATCTCCCTAGGCCCCGTATAAATTATGGACACGAATCTGATAAACCCATTCCACGTAAAAGTGCGAGGTTCAAGATTATATGCATATAAAAAAACTACAACAAAAAGGAGAAAAGAAAGGTGAAAAATCCAAAGACGAGTGAAAATGCCGTACGCAGGCTTTGAAGGGAGCTTGAATGTACGTTGAATTCATTCATACATCTCGCGCGGAAAACTGATTCATGATCTGATGGAGGTCAGATGATTATACTGTGAGCGTCGTCTTTATTCTTCTCCTCTGCTACTCTTGTGGCCAGATGTGCTGAGGGATTCATGTGTATTCAAGTTACGAGGAAAAATATGCGAATTTCCGAAGGAGCTACTACACAATAGTGAGCACCGAACGAGAACAAAACTTGTACCAAGCTGTCTGAACATACACCACTAAGAACAGAACATGAAGATGCTGATAAAATAATCAACAACTAATCAACAAAGACAGAGTGTCTAGTGAACGAGATAAACAATGTCTCAAAAGGCATTTAGCACCCCACAGGTTACACCAATGTGCATTATTCTTCTCAGACGGAAATCTTGCCGGAACACCAATCGAACCCCATCACATGTATACAAAACGCTAACTTATGCGTGAATCTTAGATCTCATCTAAGCTTCGGATGGAAATTCACAGAAGCACTCACTTCCGAACCCATAGGAAAACCTCAGCAACTTCAAACTCACCTCCAGCAGCTCACTGATCGCCTTGGGTAGCGCTAGCTCGCTGAATTCCACGTGCGCACTGCACAGACTAACATTCGCAAGGAATGTCAACTTTTATTGACCGCGAAGAACACTAGATCCAGGCATTGATTTGGTATAAACCCTCCTCTGCAAATGCTTTGTTTTTCGCCAGAGTAACACAAATCGTGTCGAGATTTTGGCCAAGTGTTGCCAAACAGTCTTGAGGGGTAACAGGGCAGTTGCTAAATCTGCACTGGCACTTTCTGGTTTTGTATCACTTCACCGTAGCCAGAAGATAGGACCGGGGAGGCATAAAGTACAGTAAGTAAATAAATAAATAATAAATAATAAATAAAATCGATGAAACTGTAACCGATGAAATTACGTATGGAGAACACAATTCTCATGACAAGATTTATATAATTACTTTTTAGCCCAAAAGAGTTTCGACCTTTCTAATTTCAATTTTGTATACATTCATTTCAGAAAATGATTCTTTTCGGTTTTTTTTTCAACTCTCCTACAGGACACACATTCATTCCAACTTGATACATTTATTTTGATAATGTTAATGATTAGCGAAGAAGCTTTTGGAGAATAAAGGTCGTACATTAGTGCGAAAACCTTGGAGCAATTTGGGGAGGAAGCAGGTGGGTAGGAGCTCGCAACCAAGTTAGATTTCATAACATAGATTCATACAAAGTTGAGGGAGTGATATATTTAGCTTAGAGCTTAGTTTTAGGGTTTTGGGATTAGATTGTGCTAGCCATATGACTGGACTGTACTATGAAGTAAATTACAACCAAAAAAATATTGATGTAAGAAGAGAGAGTTGTTTTTTCAAAAAGAATAGGATGTTCTAAATTCATATGCTAGGAGTTAGATATGAGTTGTGTGCATTATATATTTTAAGTACTCAATTCAATCAATAGTTTACATGTCTACATTTATCCTTAATCTTGTTTAAGTAAGAGGGCTTGTCGATGGAGCTGAGTTCACGCTTACTTTCCTTGATCATATTGAGAGTATTCTATCATGTACTATTCATTTTAGTAGCTAATATGTCAACTTTTATGAAATTAATGTTTAACTTGAATATCTTTCATCTACAAACTGGAGAATATATATTTGATGAAATTACATAGTACATTAGCTACTCATGATGCAACCTTAAAAATATATAATGTTGATATTGAATGTGAAGTGATCGATTTGTGTTCTCAAACTTGGAGCTCAATTTCTAATAATTTAGAGATAATGATGGTCATAAGATTCAACATAAGACAAGTATAATCATCAAGATGTATTTAAACAGATCTTGCTCACTTCTTCAACCGTTGTAATAAATGGGAAATCAATGATAATAAATATATATGATAAAATGAAGTATAAGATGTATGTGTAAAAAATCTTTTGAACAAACTTCTTACTTAAAATTCCACAAACTCAATAACTTGTCACACATAGATACTTTTGATAGTGAGTTAGTCTCATCTGTAAATCATTGTATGATGATGTTAGATGATATATCTAACATAATGTGTATGGAACTTTGTGTATTAAACTTCTGTATAATACGTATGTTAATATAGTGTATAATACATGACCATGTATACAACTATACGACTACATGTGTATGAAACTAATAATAGTTAATGGCTGCGGGGCTGCCCAGCCCCGCATTGAATTATCATATCATTCCGCAATCAACACAATTCATCGTCCATTGCACGGAGCAATGGAAGATGAATTGCACCATAAGCAATTTACAATGATGCAATAGACGAGGATGCAATTTGCACCATTGTCATGGGTCCAAAGAATGACGCTGTGTGGGACGAGTTTCATGAATCTTAGTGTCTGGACGGATCTAGAGCGGCGAAGGCAGTTTGTAGAGACTGCTCAACGATTATCGGAGCGGCAGCTGCTCGTCTTCAAAGCCATATCAGTGCTTGACTGAAGCGCGCTCGCTTCATTGAGCAGCATAACCTAGGCTTCACTACGCCGCCCCGCAAGAAGACCAAAACGATGATATCATCCTCGGGCGATCCCTCCACTGCAGAACACAACGGCAACGTCACGGTCTCGTCGTTCACATTTAGGAGTGGCCGTGCTCACTTTGACTATTAGAAAAAGGAAGAGCACAAGCGACTATGCAGATTTTTTGCCCACGCCGTACATCAAACGGCGATGCCGTTTAAAACCTTCAAGCATAATACGTGGTAGGTTTTTTCCACGCTCTGCCAGGCGCCTTCCACAGAACCGATGGGCGGTGACTTGTTGCCCTCAAAATACAAGAATGTTATGGCTAAAGTTGTGCGCAACCTGAAGCAGTTCGTCATAATCTGCCTGATCTTGCACGGCGCCAAAAACGTTCAGGGCAAGCAGATCATAAAAATGATGGCGTGCGGGCCGGTGGTATTTTTCTTGGAACATTTCTCAATGGAGCTTTGTCGGGAGAGTGCTGAAAATTTGTACAAAAAGCTGATTGACTGCAAACGCCGCCTGCTACTCACGATTTGCAAACTTGCACATGGCTTTGTTGACCACGTCGTCACTTCCGATGCTGGTAATGACGATGCCGATCAACAGCAGGTTGCCACATTGAACAAGCATTTTGTGCGGCCTCCGATTTTCACGTTTGGCTCTGATTTGCCGTCAGTCATGATCAAACTACGCCGTCTTTGTATCCAAGACACCAAATTTTTCTTTGCGTTTGGCTACTCATCGCACGCGTTGCACAATCTGTGCATGGTTATGGTGAAAAAAATCCTGGACGTAAAGCTCATTGTCAAGCAGATCGTCTTTCTTGTTAAAAACGTTCAGAATACACATCTCGTCCAGCAGCTACTCGATAAAATATGCTTAGAGAAGTATGGGAGCACGCTCGTGTTTATTCTATTCACAGAAACGCGCTTGGAACGGTTTGAGAAGCCGCTAAGCGCCTGAATCGAATGCGGACGGCAATATGCGAGCTGCCAACCGAAATCATATTGAACGACTTAGACGTTGATCTTCCTAATCCTGAGGGACCTGATCTTGTTGGCAGCATTCTAGAAAGGCGTCGCAGCCATGAAAGTGATATTAAGTACAATGTGCTCTTGTCTGACGTACTTGGAGGGTAACGAGTTGACATTTTTGAGCATTTACGCTTGCTTTCTGGTTGTTGCGCATCACTTTCGCATGTTGCTGCCAGATGTAAGGGAAGTCTTGGAGCTTAGCAGTGCCGATGTCGACAAATTATATGCGTTGGTTTGCCATCGCATCAAGACAATCTTCTCGCCATGGCACGCTTTGGCTTTCCGCATAGATCCTCTATTTGACGATCTTTGCGATTATATATCCAAGCTGCACGTGAAGACTTTCCTCAATTTGGGCGACTTGACCATCCTGCAACAATGCAAAACGACAATCAAGAGGATAACCGTTGCCGACGTCATGTTGAACCAAACAATGCAGTCCGAGTTCGGCCTCTACATTTTCTATGTCGCTGACAATGACAATGATTTTTCCGACATATTCTCCATGCCGCAACACATGTGGGCGTTGGTTAACGACTCGTTGTACTCACATTTGTTGTGCGAATACATATCGCCATACACTCTACATCGCTGACATGCTACTCACATACACATACGCACACATACACACATGTTTCAGAAATAAACGGGAGATTCGCCACTGGAATTCCCGTCGATCAATTACCCTACTGGCAACAAACTATCACCGTCACAAACATGAGTCAAGCCCAACCCACTCCACACTCGGAGAATCCAAGTTAACGCAAAGGGAAAAGTCGCTCTACGCTCCCAACGCTTTCAGGCTCGACTCGAAGAACTAACGTTCTTCGAGCCGTCCCCGACTGTATACCCCTCGTGACCCGAACCCTAACTTCACGTCTAAATATAGTAAGTGCCCAAACTGCGTGAGCCGACTCCTAACTACATGACAACTGTCGTGCGAATACATATCGCCATACACTCTACATCGCTGACATGCTACTCACATACACATACGCACACATACACACATATAAGGCGCGAGAGAGTACACACTCTATAAACCCTATAACATCGATAGGCGGAGTCAGGCACAACATGTGCCATCCCCTAGAACACCTATCACAAACCAACATACGGGCCGCCTCACCAGCTGATCCACATAGCATGCACCTCAAGCCAGCACGTACTATTGCTAAGCTTGGTACCATAGTACCATCTATGTTTGGGAGGTGGCATGGCGCACAATTGCGCACATGATCCTTCCAAACAACGCCGTCACGACCCTCCAACAGGAAAACTCCAGAAGGTAACACCTCCCGCATCCGCAAGATTGTGCGTCCCGCCGTCACATCCAATGTCGTCGGTGCAGTCTGCTGTAGATAGACGTAGTCTCCCACATGGAATCTACAAATCGATGGTCGATAACCTCCTCCCCGAATGGTTGCATACCGCAACGTATCTCTATGTTGAGCAATCGCAAGATTCTCAAACGCTGCAGGCATAACTCTCCGAAAGAGCTCTGCACGGTGAGAACATACTCTCATCCACATATTCGGGTCATCAAGATTCACCACCTCGCTAGACTCACGACGAATCGATGTTGGCAAGTCTGGATTTCGGCCGTACAATATAAAATGTGGTGAGAAGGAAGCCAAGGATGCTTGACGACTGAACCGGTATAGCATGGCCAACCACGGTAGCTGGATATTCCAGTCCCCAAGATGACCTTTCTGTAGGCCATACTTGCGCAACGCCCTCTTCACCGTCTGTACAACACGTTCAGCCAAATCATCCGTCTCTGGGTGATCTCGTGATGTGGTCCGATGATCAATCAACGCCTTGTCACACAAGACCTGAAACTCACCCTAAAACTCCGTCCCCTGATCGGTCAACACCTCAGCTGGTGCACCATAGTGACTAAGCAGTCTGTCAAGGAAAGCATACGCTACTCCCTCACTCGCCTTGTCAGGTAATGCCACCAACTCAATCCACTTGGAGAAATGCTCCACCATCACCAACACATACCGATGATGTCGTACAGTCAAAGGTAGTGGTCCAGCAAAGTCCAAACTCCAACGGTAACCCAACCCCATGATGGGTAATAGATGTAACACTGGTGTCGGGGCATTGAATGATGCCCTCACCCGATCACAAACCATGCAACGTGATACCAACTGCTGTACCTGAGTATGCATACCACGCCACCAATATTGACCAAGGAG